CCATGTATGCATTACATTGTTATTGAGTGACTTGTTTCATTTGTTGATGATGCCAAGTATGCATTACATTGTTATTGAGTGACTTGTTTCATTTGTTGATGATGCCAAGTATGCATTACATTGTTATTGAGGGATTTTGTTACATAGTGTTGATGATGTCATGTACACATTACATTGTTATTGAGGGATTTTGTTCCACTGTGTTGATGATGCCGTGTACACATTACATTGTTATTGAGGGATTTGTTCCATTGTGTTGATGATGCTGTGTGCACAACACATTGTTATTGAGGGATTTGTTCCATTGTGTTGATGATGTCATGTACACATTACATTGTTATTGAGGGATTTGTTCCATTGTGTTGATGATGCTATGTACACATTACATTGTTATTGAGGGACTTGTTTCATTGTGTTGTTGATGTAATATGCACAATATGCTGTTACTGGGGGCTTGTTTTATGTGTTGATGATGCCACACACAAACATTACACAGTTATTGAGGGATTTATTCTGTTGTGTTAACAATGCACATGCACATTATGCTGTTACTAAGGGGCTTGTTTTATTGTGTTGATGATGATGCTACACAACACATTACACTGTTATTGAAGGATGAAGGACTTGTTTCACTGTGTGTTGATTGTACCAAGCATCACATTGATATTAACTGGCTTGTCACTGTGGTTTAATGATACCACATATTGTTATTGATGGACTTGATTTTGTGGTGCTACACATGTTGAACTTTATCTCTATGCCATCACACATCATACTTGGATTTGTCTATGTGTGTTAGTGATATTATACTTTATACTGAGATTTGTCTCTATGTCTTTGTTACTTCACACATTGTATTGATATAAAATAAAGTATCTCTTAGCTTATGTGATACATCATCCTGATGCAGTAATGTAATGACCTTACAACATGTTTTATCAACCAAATTGATTTATTCAAAACACAAGGTGATAAAGTGAACGAGTTGTGCTGTGATGACAAAAAATCAACTGTTAGGAAGTTGTCAATGAACCACTGCCAGCAAATAATCATAGAAAAAGCGTATTACGGACGTAAACTTTACTATCCCCCCCCCCTGAAAAAGGAGAATCCACTTTCTTGAAATTCTCAGGCTGTTGTGTATCTTGTTTTATAACTTATTCTTGATGATTACATCATAACTGCTATGTCAAGTCTGACTATTATATCAGTGGTAGTTAATATTTTGTACAGAAAAGAATGTTTAAGATTAATCATTATTCAATATAATCTTAACTTCATTCTATTACTTTTACCAAACAGTAGGTTCCAATTTGGCCAGTATTATTCGACCTTTCTGGTGCTGTTACAGCAATGTCAGAATAACTTCTTTTTGGTTGATTAACATAACTGTTTGATTGTATAACTGTTAAAAAACATGAGTGAGAAACAGAATTCACATGTAATTAGGTACAACAAAATATAAAGGAAACATTCAGTAATTAAGAATATCATTTGAGGTATTGCAATTAGCAAGTAGTGAATAACCATTAGAAAATCATATTCTGAGCTTGCCTTTTGTGCTTGTTACAACTGGTTATTTTTTGAATTAAAAAAAGAAGATAGATGAAAGTTTAATTAATATTACATTGTGTTTTTTTTTATTATTTGTTTAATAGGAACTATTCAAATAAAAAATTCAACATTAGAATTGTGAGAGAAAATATAATCAATTTAAATTAGCATCTACGTGGTGAAAGTTGACAGATAAATATAACTAAGACTTGGCCAAGGAATTCTGATTTATTTACAGTCTGACAAATGAGTGAAGCTTACTGTGTGTCAATTTATCTGCATATCCTGAGTTGATCATTCAATTTTTTTTTAATATTGTTGAAAAGGGGTATTCTTTGTTTTTTTTATTTAAGTTCCAAACATTTTATTGGATAAATATTTTCCTGTTGGACTAGTATCTTATTAGAAGTTCAATTTTCTCAACACAAAATCACTTAATCAAACAAATATATTTTGAAATAGATAAATACATTTCCAAAAATAAACAACAATGCCTTGAGTATTGGTCTTAAATGTTTTTTTTATTATTGTTTTTTTTTGTTTTGTTTTTTACAGAGCCACCTACCAGACTTAAAAGTTCATGCTTATTTTGCCCCAGTGACCCCTCCTCCTTCTGTAGGTGGAGGACGACCAGGATACTGTCGGTGCTGTGTACTATTATGAAGGTGACAATAAGTATTCTGTAAACAGGTAGCTGACCAGGACCTAATAACACAAAAATAGGTCAGATGCAAGAAGGCAAGTAAACCACACTTAATTCTAACTGTCATAGCCTGACTAGGAGGCTGTATTATCTGTGGTTTTGGTTGTTTTCTTCACCATTGATATATATATTCCACATGCCTCAACTACTCTTTGTGATTGACGTGTTTTTGTATAGTTTCTACCGTCTGGTGGTCAAACACTGTTCTCAAGCTAATGGTGTGCAGCTGTAGGTTACATAGAGATAGCTCAGGTTGTGGTAGAGCTAAAAATGACACACACACATATATACACAAAATCAGTGAAATAGGAATTCTTTGTCTGCATTCCTGTGATGAAGCTTTCTGCTCTGTAGCTGTTTACAGCTTTTGAATCAGAATAATCACTTCCTGTAAATATATAACTAATTGTATCAACTGGCCAGGCCAACCCTAATACCTTCCAACAATAACTCTGGTATGATATGTCAACTCAAATGTTTTTTGTTTTTGCTTAACCATAGAAAAGAATATTGTTAAGACACAAATGTATAGATATTCTGTGGTTATAAGCAGTTAGGATTACTAATGTAAATGTTTAACTTTTGTATTTATAGATCTGTGTGTCTTTTGTTAAAGTATTCAATGCAATTGAAGGTAATTAAGAGGATGAAAAAGCTTCTTTTATAAATGAATAAATATATATATATATATATAATCTGGGTTGCAAGAAAAACTTGGATATTAAATTTGCTAATCTTCACATTAAAGGCTCATTCAAATAAATACTTTTTTATGGATAGTTCCTAGTTTCAGAAGGGGAAAAATACTGTTTAGAATATAAAGAAAAACGTACGAGTTTTTTTATAATTCCAGTCATCCTTTAATCTAGCATTATCTACTTTGTTATAACTGTAACTCTGTAGTTAAGCCAATATTTATATATGGTAATATTTTGCTGCATATATTCCTGAAAGTTTTCTGTATTTTCAACATTTCAGTTTAATTGCCAATAATTGTGCTTTCTCCTATAAGATCTTGTGATTCCAGACCACATTAAAAACTGATGCCATATTTTGTTTAAAAATTTGACAGTGTAAGACGTGGCTACCTTGCCATATTTGTAAAGAATGGTTAAAAGTTCTATTAAATTCTTCCCTGTTTTAAGTTTTTTCTCTTCAAAAACAAAAATACTAAAATTGTTTAGGAAAAAATTAAATATGAAAAGGTAAAAATATTCAATAGTTATACCTTTTTTTATATGATTTTCTGCTTTTCTTAATTTGATTAAAGACTAATCAAAAATTGATAATTAGCATGTAAATTGTATTTTTTAAAGATATCATGAACATTGTGTACAGTGTATCACTTAAGACCATTCTAATGTATGTACATTTTTAATACACTTTGAACACATAGATTTAACGCTGTATTCTGTAAGTTTAGTATCATTGCTATATGCATTTGTTACCCCAGTAAAATGTCCCCCCCCCCAAAAAAAGATTGTTGTGAAATATATGAATACTACATTGACTAAAATGTTGAAACTTATAATTCTCTGCCAGTATGGATTTTCAAAACTAAGTAGATAATGTACATAACACTGTAGTTCATTGTTGTAGTTCTATTTCTCTGTGATTATAGTACAATGACAAAGCTTCATTTAAACAGTTTTTAGAATTACCAAAAGTTATGTGGAAAAATAAAGAAACTGTGAAAACCATATTTGTAGTACTTCCTCACATTTAAGATTCTTTTATGCTAATATTTATTCAGAAGTGAAATTATAACAGCAGTGTGGATAGCAAATAGTTGGTTGTTATAAAGATTTTAATGCTTCTAACTGACTAAGTTCTTGTATGAAAAATTTTCATAATCCAAGAACTAACAAAGCAAACAAAAATTTTTATTATTTTTGTTACTGTCCTAAGTTACCCCAGACAACTGAAAACATACTGTTTTGTAGATGTGAAAAAGTTAAATTTAAAAACAAATAATCTTCATGTAACTAGCAGTCGTATTGTTTCTTTGAACTAGGAATAATAACAATAGTATAGAGTCTACATTGAAAAAATGGAAGATAAGTGAAAATATTTTAGAGTACAATCAAGGTACTGGAGCTAAAAAACATATTTTTGATAAAATTATTTGTTAAAACGGAAAGAAAAAAGAAAGTGAACTACTGTGAAAACAGTTCATTTATAAAGTGTAGTCTTGAATTTCTCGTACTCTTGACTTATCAAGTTCTTGTACATTACACATCAGGTGCATTAAACTAGAAGTTGTCAGTGTTTGCTTAATTTCCAAATTATTTAACAAGCACTTTTATATCTTTCTGAAGTTTCTGCATAAAATGTATCTATGATCTAAGGAGAAAAGTTTGATACATATTTAATCTTGCATTTTTTTTATAATCTGATGATTACAAATGTTTTGTTTATATTATGACTAAAAACTAATCAAGCATTTTTCATAATAAAACCTAAATTAACATGTTAGTATAATTGAAGACACAAATCCTAAGTCTTTATTATCTGTTTCTTTGTATCATTGTAGTTGAAAAATTTTATTTCTAGTCTTATTTAGGGTTTTAGGATGAAACATAACCCCTAAGATGATCACACTATTCATACGTTTTTAGAATTACCTCTATACCCAGCAAACAGTATTATCGGGCAAGAGAACTCACTGTTAAATGAACAGGATTAAGTACTATAAACTGTGATTGCATGATCCTTAATAAAGTTTTCACAAAATACAAATCATATTTGCATATTGTCAGTTACAAAGAACAGTCATATTTTGACATAAAGCCACAGTATTATAAAGTTAACTACTGTGAAGGATAAACATCTCGTTAAGCAGAATTTTGTGATAAATTGTATATGCATATACTTAGATGATTGTATTATACAGCAGATTTAAAAGTATGTATTAATTTGCAGAATATTAGAAAATAATTGCTATTTGACATATATATGTATATATATACATGTATCACAGTGGAGCAACTGGCAAACATTATTTTTTAAACATGATTAATAATGTCACTTGCAGTTTTTTTAACATTTAACATGCATGTGACATAGTGCACCACTACATACATTTTTCAGTAAATAGTTTTTCCAATAAAGATAAATGTTAGAGATTGTAAATATAAAATTGTAGCACATTCTGCTGTGATGTCTTCAAATATTAAAAAACTGTCATCTTTAGCAGTAATTAAGTGATATTTCAGTGTATAAAAAGTGTGTCTGAAACTTCAATTTTTTAAGACATATTTATCAAAAAAAATCATTAATTTGCAATAAGCATTAAAATAATTCGAGTATCAAGTTTTGTAGTTTATGAAATTTAATTGGATTCTTTTATAAGTTTTTCTTATTGAATACAGAAACAGCTTGATCTTGAGTTAGAGATTACTGAAACTGAGTATTTTGAGTGTTGAAAACTGATTGATTTTTTGCAGAAATGTTTCTATTGTAAATGGATGAAGAACATAAGCTATTTATTAGTAAGTCTAATACTTGGTGAATTCAGTAATTGGAGTGAAACTCTTGAAGTTAATGTGTTAAGTATTAGAATAGGTATTGAAAAACAATTTTCTTAAAAATAGTTATTGTCAACAGTTTATAGCTTTTTTTTGTTGATATTTTATATAACTCTGATATAAATTAACAATTAAAAAAATTTAATTTTGCTTTAGAGCAGTCTTCTCTGAAGATGAAACTAAATTTTCTATTTCTGTTTTGAAAAAATTACAAAACCTTGTGTAAGAAAGAATGTCAAATAAAACTTGTATTTTTGATCTTCATATTGTGTTATTAGATATCTAAAAAATTACTGAACACATTTATTAGTATCTGTAAATCTGAATGCAAGATAATTAGTCACCTTAATTTCAAACAGTCCTGCATAAAGAAAATCTACAACTTCAAACCATTCATACTGGAACATTTCATATATAAATATCATTTCAGATAAACATTTGTTTTTCATGTTCAGCCCAGCTGAAGAGGTATGGTACTAAAAGAAAGGTATTGTAAGCAGTGACTTGTGGGAGACAAAAGATAGATATCAAAAGTTATTTTCACATGCCTCTGATATGAAATCCAAGATGGATCATTCTAGAGGAATATGAAGAAAAATGCTTAGTTTATTTTATCACAAATTCTAAGAATTAATGAGTGAAAACAAAGTAGAATATGTTATGTCAATCAAACTACATTTCCAAGATCCAGAAGCAACAAGACCTTTAGCTTAATACTAGGGCTTATCAGACCAGCAGGTCATGACAGACACATTAGTGATCCAGGCACTATTTATATCATCAACTTATAAAAACAACTGTTATGGTGTGAACTGGATTCAGCATGTAAACTGTAATTATTATCAATAATATTTAAGTCATTTTCAAATCATATTTACAGGGTAAGGATTAACATGTTAATATTTAGTTACTTTATTTTAACACCTACTGTTTATTTATTTATTAATTACACAGGCCTGTGATGGTTTTATTGTCATGAAATTTTTACATGTTCTACACTAATTCCTATATGGTGTATCCAAAAATGATATCCATTTTTCTCCATCACATACAGATTTTTCATAAAACATCATAATGCAATACACAAAAGAAAGACCACAACACGTAGTTTGAGACTAAAAGACCAAGATTTTACAAGAAAAATCAGGATGAATGAGGGAGGATGCATATTCGTTTGACATCAATGTTCTTCCCTTTTCTTCAGTATGTTTGTATTTTCTTAACAAACATAATAATAAAAAATGTTCATTGTGGTAAACTAAATCATAATTTGATATAAGTAAGAGTTTTTTTTTTCTTCCTGATTTGTAAAAAATCCTTACGTGATAGAAAAAAATTGATATTATTTTCAAAATCTGTGTAGTTGGATTATGGAAAATCCGTTATTAAAACTAAAACAACTTTTATGAACTTTAAATTCTCTGACCTGTGTTAATATTATTATTATTATATGTTAAATTACTATTATTTAGAAGAAATGGTTTACCAGCAGAAAACAACATTATTAGTTCTAACTTTCCCGAGAAGAACATTACTTTTTCAAACATTCATCCTACAGTTTGGTCAGTACTAAATGAAAATTGCACAAATTATCTGGTCATCAAAATTTTTTTTATACTCTGTATAGATTCCATAGGATCTTGGGTCTTTTTTTTAGTTTTACCATCCTAGGACAAAGTAAGAATTCAGATTTTGATCACCATGTTTTACAAATCGGAGCACAAAAATTATCCAGTTCTATAGCTTTACTCAACTCCTTTATTTCATTTAATGTTGTAGAGGACGCTAACAGTGACCATACCCCGATCATGTCAAGTATATTCAGAAAAAATTAACTACAAATAAGCTAACTAGTAAAAATATGCACAAACATTAAACACTCGTCTGCCAAACATAATAATCACGGAGACGCTGTGCAGCTCAGACATTGACCTACACTGTCGTAAAATCACAAAATGCCTGATAAACACACACATGTATACAAAAAATAATACACAACAAAACCCACAAAAAGTGGAGACCACGTGCTCATCTAATAAATAATATACAAGAACGAAGAAAAACAAGAAAAAATACACCAAAGCAAGAAATATAGACCTAAAAACTAAAATAAATTCACTTAGAAACCAAAATAAGAAACGATATTAAGAAATTTAAATCTCAAAACTGGGACAAATTCTGTACACAATTAAATACTAAAACAGACACATAAGATTTTTGATCTCATCTTAAAAGTTCACAAACAATACTAATAAACACAACACTGAAATACAACAACAAACAGACTTACAAAAATTTACAGAAAACACAAGCTTTCAAAGAACTTTCAAGACGTCAAATGAATCGAATGTAGACAACTACTTTAATAATAATGTCAATCAACACGTTATCACCAATAAACACTTATATACCCAAATTTTCTACTCTGAAAACACACACACAAAAACACCTAAGAAACAAGAGGGAAAAGATCCATTATAACAACAAGTGACTAAACTCATCACAATATCAGAAGTGAAGCAAATAACATATCATCTGAAAAACAGAGGTACTGGACAGGATAGAACGTAAAGCATAATTCTAAAAAAAAGGCCTCCGACATCTTACGAACATTTAAAAGGGTTGTTCAATTTATCATTTAAATCAGGCTACATACCTGCCGCTCGTAAACAAGCTGGAGCTTTTATGTTCCAAAAGGAAGGGAAAAGAGCGAATAATCCAGAAAACTACAAATCTATCAGTTTGACCAATTGTCTAGATAAAGTCTGAGAAAAAAAAATATTAATAGCAAATTATTAGCTTATCTTGAAAACACCAACAAACAACCGGAGGTACAAAATGGATTCTACAAATCAACACAAATAACAGACCAGTTAGTTCGGCTCACAGAACAAAGAATTCATAGCTTCAGCAAGAACAAGAATAACAAAAAAAAAAAGTGCACTGTCGCATGCTTTCTCGACGTCTAGAAGACTTTCGACAGTGTCTGGCTGCTCTGTACCAAATAGGGCTATCGGGAGGAATTATACGCTGGTTGTCCAACTTTTTGGAGGATAGGAATGTCAGAATCAACGTCGAAGGCATATACTCGGCGCATTTTACTCCAGAAAGAGGTGTCCAACAGGGAGGGGTAGTTAGTCCTACGATATTCATGTATGTTAGCGACATGCCTCTCAAAGACCCAAATTCTTGCTTCTGCTCACAATTTGCAGACGATGTTAGTGTCTGGAATAGCTTCCCAAACTCAACAACAGCATGTTACAACCTCTTTTAAACGAAATAGAAAAATACTGTAGCAAATGGATAATAAAAATCAATACACACAAAATGCAATTAATATTATTCACCAAATTAATTGGCCCGGCATGGCCAGGTGGATAAGGCGCTCGACTCACAATCTGAGGGTCGCGGGTTCGAATCCGCATCCCACCAAACATGCTCGCCCTTTCAGCCGTGGGGGCGTTATAATGTGACGGTCAATCCCACTATTCGTTGGTAAAAGAGTAGCCCAAGAGTGGGCGGTGATGACTAGCTGCCTTCCCTCTAGTCTTACACTGCTAAATTAGGGACGGCTAGCGCAGACAGCCCTCGTGTAGCTTTGCGCGAAATTCCAAAACAAACAAAACCAAATTAATTAAAATAACCTATACCTTGACTGAACTCTCCTCCAGGTAGCAACATCAGCACAATTTCTAGGATTGATATGTGACTCCAAATTAATTTGGACACGCTACATTAAAAATAAAATCTGGCAAAGAACGTTTTATCTTAGTAGTTTGACTGGCAATTATGAGGGTGTATCACTAGAAGCCCAGTTATCAAATATGCCTGCCTAGCGTGGCTAAATATAACAAAAACACAAATTGCACATTTACAAAAAACACATAACTCAATACTAACCAAAGTATACATAGTTCTAAGATCAACAGACACATCATTCCTTCACAACTACTCAAATATCCCGTTTTTGTCAGACAGACCCCTAATAAACACGCTAGAGTATTTTAAGAAAGATTTGGGTAAAAGGGAACTACTAAGTAGCCTAGACAGCATACATGACGAACCAAGTCCTAAACACCTCTCCTCTCTAAATACTATTAATAACCATCTAAGTCGGCCACCTAGCACTAGGCAAACTGATTTTCGGATACATAATCAGTTTTACTTTAAAAGGGTTGTTTACATTTAAAAAAAAATCATTTTTGATCTTCATGTGTACTAGTGGAACTGTATTGTGAGTATAAGACTTTATGTACGATGATACAAAGAAAAGCTGTATACATCAAAAAGTTAATATTGCCCAATAAATGGACATGACTGAAAAGGGTACGTTGATACAAAACATCTGCGGACATTCGCCAGAAACATTAACTACCGTGAATACGGAAACAACCAATGGGAATGTTACCTGAAAATCAGTGTCACGAGGAACATCAAGGAAGGATGAAGAGGTCCATAAGTGTATCTGACCCTCCTATAGGTCTCATACCTATTAAACATCGATCCAGCGATTCGGTTCGCTTTTACCACCAAGCACAGATGAAAATAAAAGTTAATTTCTAATGTTGTTGCACATATAATAATAATAATAAAAGTAATATTACAATGTTGGCCTGTATGTCTGACAACTCCACTTTATAATGGCTGGGTCCTTTTTATAACTTGGCGGTTTTTCACATTGGCCATGCTTTATTATAGATATTACTTTTTTTTTCTTTCACATACACACAGTGTTACCTGAACATAGGTTTTAGAAGTTGTCTGCCAAATACTACATTAGACAATGATGAGATATATTTCATGTGGCTGTTACTACCCACTTTTTCGTAAGAGGCTGATTTTTAGCTTTCTCTCCAAAGCCACATCATACAGTTGGCGAGGTCCATACTTAGAAACAAATGCTTAATTTGCAACATAAAGTGTAACTTTGTGGGTAAAATACAGGACGTTTTAGGTTTGATCCCCCTAACACACACACACTTTTATGTATATATATATATATATTATTTCGCGAGATATTCCACTCTTTCAAACATGATTATATACGTCACAGTAGACGCATTTCTTGGTTCATTTTGTTTCAAAAAAGTAAAATGTCGTGTAATTTAGACACTGTGTCTAAAGTCACTGTATTTGTTGGAAAACACGGCAGAAATAGGAGAATAAGCTCGTTTTTCCTTACTGTATGACAGATATCGAATTTGACCTAAGATCGTTCAAAATGTCATGTTAAAGTAAAACCATGCATCTGGCTGGTGTAGTTTAGGTGCGTCAACACCCGTGCTGCATGAGGAATCACTGGTGATTCTCCGTCATATAACCTTGGCTGTCGGAACTACAGTTCCTCTCGGTACAATGTATCACTTCAAATAAATCAAGCTAAACCTTTATAAATTCCGTACGTCAAACATCCTGATAATTAACTGTTTTCGGTATAATAAAATGTATCCTTTATCACTTACGTTTCTTCACTGTTACTGGTGAAGAAATTTGCTATCTATCCCAGCTTGATTACAGCAGTAAATCTCACAGGAAAATATACCATTTTTTTTTCTTTCTCCTTTGTCAAATTCCAATTTAACGTAGCTTTAAGTAACAAAAGCAAGTTTTAATTTAAAAGAGGATAAGAGAATAACATATTTACTATGCTAGTCTTTCTAACGTACCTTACGTTCACAGAAACGTATATATTTAGTAACAATTTACTTAGTTTCACATTTATAACCAAAGAGTTAAAATCTACCGATCTCTGTATTTAACGCTCACTATCATTATATTACTTTGAGTTTCTTCTTCCTTTTGATTTTCGTAAAGCCTTTTGGAAAATTTGTTTTTAAAACCTGGAACCATTACTCTTATTATTTTAACCTAGATTCAAGTGGTTGCGGTTAGTATATTGACGTTTTAAGTCTCACGGTCATACAAATGTTAATGATTTTGGTAAGTTTTATATAAAAAAAACATCCGTATATTTTTGGAAGTTAAACAAAAACACATACACATTTTTGTTTTTCATATAAACTTTCATTTTAATCTGTACACAAACTGTTTTTCTTTATACAAAGGATGAAGTTATGTACAAGACAAGGAACGGATACTGTACAGATTGTCAAACTAATTTTACAAAACATGTAAGCATTACGAAATATGAAGTCTTTCTGTGTAATCTTACGATAAAAAAAATGAGACTTATCATAGCAATCACACCTAAATCATGATTAAAACAAAATTTTAGTTAGTGTTAATGGAAACAAAAGCACATGTAAGTTAAAACGATAAATGATTATAAATCATCATTATATCTTTTCTTCTTCTGGCTTAGATAATATCTGTTAAGATAATACCCGTACAAAGTGTATTGTACTGCATAAATAATGCTAACAAATCAAAACTACTCTTAAATCAGTTATGGTTGTCACAACGTGAATTTTAAAATTTTTTTTCAAGTTGTTTGTTTTCATCAAAAACAAAAATGCATGACGCTAGTTTATCATTCATCAAACATATGCAAAACAATAAGTACAATAAGAAAATTTGGACCTCAGTTAACGAGGTTGCTCAAGATGTATGCCCCTGTGAGGTATGACACTCCACACCAAACAGGTTATTTTTATTTTATTTGTACAAATTTACTATAGTAAATTATGAAAGGCGTAACTTTCTGACACTTAATCTTCTTTGAAACCCTAACCGTTACTCAGGTGGAGGAGGAGGTGGGGGTGATGGTGGAGGAGGTTCCCTTGGCAGAGGTGGATCTTGTGGAGGAGGAGGTGGTGGTGGATTACCAAACAGTTGTGGAAATGCTTGGTGGTGATAGTTGGCCATAGGAATGGGCAGATGAAGAGGATATGGGTAATATTGTGTATAAGGAAATCCTTGGGGTGTTCCATAGTTCATCATGTACTGAGGAGGAGGAGGAGGCCTCGGTTGAGCCATTCTCTTTCCTTGAAACATTCCTCCCATTCCATCAATACGATGGTGACCATGAGACACTCCTGGATGACCAGAAGCATTCTGGTTGTATCCTTGCTTTCCTAAGGGATGCATGTTGGAAACTGAATTAGCTTCTTGGGACTGCCCACTTTTTTGACTGGATGTAGCATGACACTCCAATTTTGACTGTTTCGGAGATTTGTTTAATGTTGAGTCTTTTGGGCTACGTTCTCTTTTCCTGGATTCTTTTTCAAGCTTGGAACTTGATTTGCTGTAAGTACTTGAATTAATTCTTTCTTTTGATATAACTAATTTTAAACTAGACCCAGAAGAACCACTACTTTCAGCTGGTATAATTGAACTTTTGGAACTTTCTCCCACACCTAATTTCAGCTTAGGAATCTTAATTTTTAGGTCTTCTCTGTGCTGTATGCTTGATTTGGAACTGGAATCTTGAATAGGTGGGTTAATTTTAATTTTTCTTTTGGAATTTTCATTTTAAGACCCGGAGATGAGATGGAAGTGTTTTGATGTTCTGACACTGACTTAGAACTCTTTTCTTTCTCTGAATGTTTATGTTTGTGTTTTGGGTTCACAGTAAGATCTACAGAAGTAGATATTTTTGCACTTTTACAACCATCACTATTAGCACCATTTTCAGACTGCCTAGACACAGCATTAGTATTTGCTGAAGCCTGGGGTAATGTTTCTAAGTGAGGACTTTTCCTGTTTGAACTGAGAGTCTTGTCCTGAGAAGCTTGGGACACAGAATGCTGATGAGGTTTCTTAGAGATTTTAATCTTAGCATGTTTATTAGTTCTACTACTTTTATTTGACCCAGAAATTCTACAGGTATTTACTGTGGATTTTTGGTCTAAATTGGCAGGACGTTGATCACGATGAGATTTAATGACCAACTTTGTAGAAGACTCTTTAGAATTCACATTAAAAGATTTTACTAAATCATCACTATTAATGGTCTGTGGTCGAGATAATTCTACAAGATCCTGACGCTTTGTACTAAATGCTGTGGATGATTGGAGGGAGTCTTTAGGCATACGAGGGTGAGGCAAACTCCCTGGTTTTCTAATAAAATCATTTGACTGTTGGCCATTCTGTTCATCATCTGACAACTCATTAAGTAATGCACTCACAATCTCACTTTTCTTTCTCTCACTGTTTTCATTACCTAAGCTTTCACTTGTATCTTCAGATGATTTAATGTTTTGGGATCCCTTTTTATTAACAATGTGTGCTTGGGGTTTACCAGCTTTTCTTTCTTCTGATCCAGATGCACTTACCTGTTTTCTAATATCATCTTGCTGGCCTTTGATAGTTTGTCGCTCTTTGTCTCTTTTTTCTTTCATTTCTCTATAGGCAGCAAGAGATATTGTGACACTTCCCTCTGGTTTAACTTTTTTACTTGGAGAAATATTTTCTGAAGGTGATGATGACAGTGTGGGGATAGAAGTAACCTCCAGATGGAATGAATGATCTGGATTTTCTTTTCCATTCACTGAAGGTTGGCCTGGTGATTTTTTTATTTGTTTTTTGGATGAGGATAACTTAGGTTGGTGACTTTTGGAGGACTGCTGACTATTAACATGATTTTGTTTAATAACTTCCTTACAAGAAGGTTGAGAAGTTCCAACTTTGGTCTTCTTTTCTTCAGGTAGAAGTTCCTAAATATTAAAAGAAAACCTTTAATACAAACACAATACAATATTTTATTAGCAAAGTATAAAAAAAAAACTATGAATATCTGCATTTAAAGCCGACTACCCAAGATTCTTTGTTAAAGAACTAAATTAACACAGATTACAAAAGAATCAATCTGACAACTTGAAGTTCATCCTCACATATTTTGTCATTCATCATAATAATAATTTCTAATCTATCCATTAAAAGTATGATGACATATCCAATTTTTGCATTGAAAAAGTGGAATTTGTTCACAGAATTATGAAGACAGTTTTTAACTAAAAATTAGCAACATATGATAGTATAAGAAAAATGCCAATTTTCTTTTCTTTTCAGGTCATAAAACTTTTCTCTTTAAGTTAAATTTTTTACATAACAGACACAGGAATCACAATACAAGAAAAATAAGTTACCAAAGGAAAACTGGTTTTTACTAAACTCTTAAGTCAGTCCAACAATAATTCTGAATTTCATTATAAACTATAGCATCAATCATATTAAGAGCTATATAAAGCAAGATATATGTAAGGTACTCAACATTAATTCTAATAAAGATACCTGAATTTTTTAGCAACATTCAAAAGGAGTTTAAAATAAGTATATTTACAGATATTACTTTTAATTTGGTTAACAGTTAAATTACAACTACTGTATATTTTTTGAAACTAGTTCACAAAAGGTTATACTATTTACCTAGAGCCTTTTTTTTATTTTTTAAACCTAGTCTACTTACTTTTGCTAAACTCATTTTCCTTTTAAGTTTGCTGGGACACTTATCCAAAATAGCTAGAAATTCTGATGTTAGTTCTAGAACAAAAAGAGTGAAAATTATATACATAGTAAAGTTACATATTTCTTACATACTAAAAAGACAAATGGTTATCAATAATTTTATATGCTTTGACATATAACATAAAATCTAAAATTCAAAACTTAAATTCAAGACGTTTATCTGTTGATGTGGAGGTTTTATTTATGACTAACAATACCATCCCTTTAAATAGTGCATTTTTTAATTATAAAAATAAAAAAATTATTGTACAATCTGTACTTCTCTTTGTCTCTTGTTAGGATTTCATTTATATAAGCTATGAAATTTCTTTTATTCCAAATGGTTGGAGAAGCTGAGACTTTTCACAAACAGTCACTTCATCATTTTTAACTAATGCACGCTTGAAACATTATCAATTAAAACTACTAAATATACAATATTCACATCAAATACATTATGGTTACATGTTAGAAAAGTTTTCAGCACTGACCAAAGCACGAGTTCTCCCCCCCTCCAATAATGGAGGCTCGTCACAGCACATTTATCAGTTTGTAGTTCTGATAGCATAGTGCCATCTCTAATTTTGAACCATTGACCACAAAGAGACAACTATTTGGCAGCAATTTACTGCTATTTGTGATACACATGTATATGTTATTTAGATGCTTATTAATTCTTTGCATACAACCTGGGCAAAGTACACATTATATTCAAAATTAAATAAAATAACTTTTATTACTTACGTATGTCAGTAAACTTGGCAAGAAATAATAGTTTCTAATTCAATTCCTATATTATGCAGGCTTAAAATTCTTAATTTTAAAAATAAATACTTAAAAAAAAACTGTCAAACTTCATTTTTCTGTGTCACATGATGAGTCCAAAGACTTACCGCTTTCCCATAGGGGAACTATTTATAGTTTTTGTAGCCTTCAAAAAGAAATAACATAAAAATATGTTTATTAAATGTAAACAGAATATATTAAATACACCTACTAACCTTGAAAAGCTAATGATAAATAATAAGGATTTTATTAAGTGATACATTTTAAAAAATATAAAATTAGCGATATGATTTATGACTCAAAATTACACCTCAAAATGGCAGCACTGTTAATAACTGAGGGTTTCTGTAAAAATCTTGACCTGTTTTTTTACTGGTGAATTGAGTGGTTAGTGAGAACAGTAAGTTTTTTTAGTCCCCAAAGGTATATTAATGTGATAAATCCATTAAGTTCCTTTTCCTTAATCTTATATTTTGTACTTATCATTTTTGAAGCCATTCATAGTCTTTTAATTATAACTTATGCTTTTCTGAGCTGAAAGATTTATATCACACTTTCAGAACTACAAGCAAAAAAGATTCAGAATGCCTAATGTTTTGACTAACTAAGCATGATGGGATTATATAATTTTTTTACTTTAGCCTTCCTTTCCACAGGCATGCTTGAAAGTTGTGAAACATTTATATTTGTAATCCATTTTTTTTCTTCTTCCAAAGTTTAATTTGATTTCCTTATAAAATATAATATTTCTTGAGTTAGCACCTGAAGTTTGTTAGTCCATTTGACTTAATCAGTTTTTAGGACTAATTGAATTATTTAACTATATAAACATTACTAACCTTCAAGAAGTTCTGAGGTAACACTTTTGTCCACATACCAAAACCACTCCTTGCCTTCACTAGACTTAGGAATCTGACATAAAACAATACAATTCTCAAAAAAAAACAAAAAACATACTCAAATAAAATTAACATCCAAGTCAGCATGTTTTTATTTAAAGATATGAAATATTAAAATTTCTTATTCAGGATCTATTACTGTCTGAATATTTAAAATACTGGAAAGATATTCATGTAATTGTAATAGAACATGCTCAAATAAAGTAAATTAGAAATTTTAAAATTTTCTTACACCAAAAACGTATATCTGATAGGTACTTACCTCTAGTCACACAAAGCTATCTAAGTCTTCTTTCTGCCCCTTAAACATTGCTAAAACCTTTTAACACTCAGTGCATCAGTCTATATACCCCACAAATTTCATGCCACTTTTGAATATGTATATAGCATGTGACCAACCTCCACCAATAGTATTGTGCCACCTATACTGGCACAGCTAGCTCCCTCTGATTTTTCTGCTCCATCCTCACTTTCAAGAATTGAGAGGATCTAAAACGCATAACACCAGCAGTCGGGAGGAAGGGTGGGAAGAGTGTGATAGGAGGTAAGTACCTATTGTAAATACATTTTCAGTGTAAGAAATGTTAACTTTCGATACGGTCTAACCTCCTCTTCTCACACAAAGCTAGAATCCCATATTGAAAAGGAGGAGGGTGCCTAACAGTGAAGCCAAGGGGAAAGCAACTGCTTAGAAATAACTGGTGTGCTCAGAGACAAAACCAAAGCACACATGCAAGGCACCACAAAAATTCTGGAACAGGTATGCTCTTTACCCAGTAAGAAGGAAATTAACCTGACACGGGTGGAAAAAAAAAGATGTGCACAAGCTTAATTTGTTCTGAAAGGTGTAATTCATAGTAACAAGTGGTACAAGTTAGAATCGTTCTCTATAAACCAACTCTAACTGTAAGTAAACAAAGTGTCATATGTCAAGCAACTAGAATTACGAAGATGGAGTGGAATATTTGCTCAACTGTAGGCCAGTGTATGTACGTCCTGTTACCAGTATTACAAGGCAAACAAAATCCCCAAAAGTTAACCATAGGAGCAGGGAAGGAAACCTCCAGCAACCAAAATTAATGAGAAGGTGTGCCTCTACTGCCCTCAACCAACAGAATGGTGTCATCCTGAACCTGGTATTATGAGGAGGATCCAGCATAAGCTGGCCCTGCTCTAACTGACATTTGGTCCACCTGGGAATAAGCATCCAGGAGAAAGGGAAGGAGGGAACCCAGCTTTGCCCTCTTCTCACTGAGTGGATAAATGTGTGGTTGTATTGTAAGGTAAGTTTCTACTTCACACTCAGGACTGGTAAGTGATAAGGACTCCCATGCTCCACTTAAAGAAAAAAAAGGGGGAGGAGTAAATGCAGTGGGAAGTCCGGAGGAATGTCACACTGGAGAAAGTGTAATGGGTGTCCATGATTCCCTATTTTAGAAAGCAGACTGTCCCCAATTTATGCAATCAAAGGGTTGGCATGGATGGGCAGAAATCCCCTTTTGCTTTACTCATGATAGTCTATGAGTGACAATCCACCATTGAGTTAAACTTATGGATACCTAGAGACACATAAGTATATACCACTAGGCATGCCACTAGTGATCTTGTGGAACACCTCATTCCTACAGTGAGCATTATAACTCGACTGGTATATAGTGCAGGTTTGAGTGAAAGCACACCTGACCAGGCAACACTCACCACAGAGTGGGATCCTATGAGTAGCGGTAAAAGAATGTCACTTAAAAGAAAACCTAAATGAAATGTTGTGAAAAGACATACCCAAGGCAAAGGCAAATGGATGTGTGTAGAAACACAACAGGATGGAGACGATATCCAACTGAGAAAGGTACAGCCAGATAATGCAGATAATGAGCAACAAAGGAATATGGAGTAGTAGACATTCTAGCCTGAACAATTTCTTCCAAAGGATAGTGAAAACAAGCAGCCAAAGACATGGTGATATGACAAATTTGAGGAGAAGAAATGTCAAGGAGACAGCGACCTACCACAGATAAGTCTATGCTACCCTAAGGAGTTGACAAACCCAACCAGTTAATGTGACAGGAGATACATCACAGGAAACAAAAGGGTTCCAGGGAATGAAAGGTCGAGAACATGAACTCAGAAAGGAGGCATTAAGTGCCACATAACACCTTAGGGAGCAAACCTAACAAAGAAGCCAATCAGGATCACAATGGGAGTACAGGTGGGAGATGGAAGGTAAAGAAATGGCTTTCCTTGGCAACAGAGGTCTTAGGGAGAAAAGACCAGTCTAGATATAGGATGACATAAGAGGAATGGTAGGGGATTTTGATAACATCAACAGCACTAGAGTGACACTTAGTAGAACAGATACCTACAGTATGGAGCACTGACCATAATCGGCCCTAAAAAAATATGAAATTGTGTCTGTATTTCCATCATTCTCAACAGACACAGAATATTTTTGTCAGAACAATGAAAAATATTACTTTACATACGTCCATCAAATTTTATCAAAATCCAATCATTTTGACTGAGTTATAGGGCAAAAATATTGTGAAAAATCAGTTCCAAGTTAATAGATAAGGATTTTTTTTTATTTTCGTGACTTTGACCCTACAAAAACTAATTACTTCTAAGGGGGGTCAGAGACCAAATGTATACCAATATTCATCCAAATCCATTCAGCCATTTTCGAGAAATCTTGCCAATAAACACACACACATACAGGAGTGAAAACATAACCTCCTTCACCTTTGGTGGCAGAGGTAATAAATATCTGATCGACAACATCCTCAAGCTAGGAGGAAAAGAAAACATGTAATATATCACATAACTGATTAATCAGTTGTAAAAAAAAAAAGTGTAAAAAGTGACAGACCAAAATAAGAAAGTACCAGAACAAGTTAATCCATTTTTCTTCTCCTTGATAGTATTCATCCTCAGAAACATTGCCAGATTGAAAATGAGAAGAAATCGCTGGCCAGATGTAGGCATCTAACTCCCTGTGAATTAAGGCCAGTACCTTCTCAGCAAATAAAATCAAACCAGATGCCTGGGTAGTTGTACCAGAAGCGTTGTACCTCTCAGGAGGATGACGTTGTAACGTCGAAACATGTAGAGTCGTCAACTTTTTGAAGGCCATAGATAGGCCTAAATAAAA